TATATATATATATATAATGATATAATGGAATGTTATATAATATAATATAATATAATTTAATATGATATGATATGGTATGATATGACATAATATGATATGATATAATATAATATACTATAATACACTTTAATATATTATAATACAATATAATATAATATATTGTATTGTAATGTAATGTAATTAATATAATATATAATAATAATATATAATAATAATATATAATAATATAATATAATATAATATAATATAATATAATGTAATGTAATTAATATACTATAATATAATATAATATAATATAATATAATGTAATATAATATAATATAATGTAATGTAATGTAATTAATATACTATAGTATACTATACTAAAATATAATATAATATAATATAATAAAATATATAATATACAGTGAGACAATGAGGCTACGATTGGTTATGGTAGTGAAGATTTGTTGATGTCAGGCCACACGCTCAATATTTAGTCTTATACATCCATATGCCAATTCACCCTGTGAAGCACCTACTGAATGAAAGTTGGTAAGTTCGAGGCGAGGAACAAAACACTCCGCAGCTTTACCAAGGAAAAGCCGACCATCCCAATCCCGCTTAATCGTTGGAGCAATCAACAATGTGTATTTTAATGGTGGTTTACCAGCAGCAGTAGTAGCAGTCGTAGCAATGGTAGCAGTGGTAGCAGCAGTAGTAGTGGTAGTAGTAGTATCAGCAATAGTCTTACATATAGGGGGCTGCTTCTTTGAAGAGCAGGGCATTCTAAGTGCCTCTAAGTTTTGAATATCGGACCAGCAAACCAACTGGGGGAAGATGTTCAGCTGAAACTTGCAGCACGCCTCGGATCTGCCGACTTGAACAAATCTGGGTAAAGTGTATTTCAGAACAGCAACCTCGCCTGCTACGGAAGTCTGGGGCTTCAGGAACCACAAGCCCGGACCAGTTCATGCCAATTCTTTCTTTCAGTGGGGCCCACAAAAAACCTGGCAACTGCGCACCGTGGCAATCTGTCGTAGTCTGAGACTAAGCCTCCCTACCCATCAAAGCCGTTGTGGCTGTGTCTCACCTCCGGACTTCTTTTTGTGCACTGGAGTGGTTGACTGATGACACTCTGCAGGATATTCTATGCACTTATAAGGAAAAATCAACCATATTATATGAGATATTCTATGCACCCTGACTTATATTTAATGAGATGGTGCAATTATTTTTGACTATGCACGATACATATCTCATCAAACTGCAAAAGTCAGGGTGTACTCATGGTGGCCTCAACATCACAAGATATGTTTCAGCAAAACCATGGAAGATGATGGAGTTTAACAGAATAGATATGAATAGATAAGAACTTTTTAAGGGATCTTCACCTCTTCAATTTTGGATACCGAGATTTTGGACCTGGGACCCCTGGGAGGCAGTTTTTGTCATGGATCACGGATCACAAAGGATGAGGTCAAGATGTCCATCAAGAGAATCCCAGGCGGTGAAATTTCGAGAAAACCCACATTTCTCGAAACATTTGGCTCGAGATTTCAAGACTCCCATGGTTTGGGAAGTGCAAGATGTTATCTGGGTAAATTATAATATTTCACTGACCTGAATTAAGGCCATTTGGGGATGATTTCCCTGATTAAGCATGATTCCAGTGAGGTCGCAGTGAGGTCGTTATAAATTACCCAGATGTTATGGACAAACCATTTGTTTTCCCTTATGTTTTGGGTGAATTCGACATGTCTTAGCACCTCCGTGTCGTCGGACTTTTGCCTTTGCCAAGAGTCCTGAGATCCGCTCTGACGGTGACATGGCGGATGGCGGCCCATGTCGGATATGAATATATATATATATACTTAGTAGCTACAACTAAGTGTAGCTATTACAGTACCCTCTGGTAAACTAACATAGCTGACATAGCTATTGAAAATGGTCATTTATAGGCGATTTATCCATTAAAAATTGTGATTTTCCATAGTTATGTTAGTTTGCCAGAGGGTAATAGCTATGTAAATATCATATCCCACCTTCACAGAAGTGCCTACCCAACAACCTTGGCTCATCTTCAATGCAAAATCTCAGCTCTCAACGGTGTTCAAGTCGTCATCCTCCAAAGGCCTCCTTGCAGAAGCCATCAAAAAGTGGTGATATCGGGGATGGTTTATGGCGGATTACCACATTAGTAACCATATTCATATACTATATATAATATACTGTATCTCCGCATTAAGATCCAGTAACGATAGAAGTTTGCTTGGGATTCTAGTTTTATCAAGAAGTATACCCTCCGGCAATCAAACATGGCTTCCTGTTTATTTAGTTGGATGATTTCCTCAGCTCTAGACCACCATTTAGTTCATGGATTTTCACTGCCAGCAATGTTTGATGACACCGAAGGGTATCAACCGGAATATTGATATCCCATGAATATCCATGAATATTCCACTTTATCCCCATTATATCACCGTTGAGACCGTTGAGGGTAAACCCAGCCACTATTGTCCCATTCAAACCTCGGTCCAACCTCTGCCTCTCAGGAACCGCAACCGGCGCAACCGGCGCAACCGGCGCAAGCGGTGCAGGTGGAGGTCTTTCCACTGGTGCCTCATGGGGGGTGGTCGTTTTTCTTTGCGCTGGTTGGAACAAATATCGAGGATACCCAAAATTGGATTACTATGGCAGTTTTAATGGAGAAAATTATGATAAACCCATCAAATTTGAGAGGGGTTCCCAATAGTTTCAGACAAACCCATGCAACTCTTCCATGTTTCTCCGCATGGGTGTGTCTGGAAATCTTATGCAACCTGACCATGCTAAACACCTTGGTGTCCCCTAGCCAAACCACGAGGGCCATCTCTGAACTAAAACTGCTCCAACACCTGCAGTTTATAAACAGCTGCCGGAGCAGTCAAGACCGATGGCTGGCGAAAGAACGCAGTTAAACATTGTGACGTCAAGGATTAACAATGATTAACAACACCCATGCATTCAATAGATCTGGAAGTCTGCTATCTGCCGAACCAAGGTCCCAAGGTGATCCTGCAGACTCAGGCGTCAAAGCCGTCGTCATCAACCAATTGGTCAACCATCCAACTTTGGTCTGGAAATCTGGTTGCTGGTACTTGAAACTGCTAGAAATGGCCATAGATTTCCTGGAGATTTCCATCGTTTTGTGCCTCCTTGGGCACCTTGAGCTCCTGAGCGGCCTTGAGCACTTCTTTGGTGCGGTCCTGGATGGCAGCGCGAAATGGAAACCACCCCAAAAAATGGGGAAACAATGCTGGTGATGTGGAAAGTGATAGAATTTATAATGAATTTATAGTGAACATATAGTAAACATACGAAGATCTGATATGATCTGATATTGTTTGATCATTGTTCATTGACATCACTCACATAATGTCACCAAGAGTGATTGGTTTATGGTGACGTCGCTGTACATTGGAGTTCACCCCTGCCGATCTGCAATCTTTACCCGTGCTGTTGATGTTTGCCAAAAACAGTCCCGGACTGTTGATGAAAGTCGCAGTCATGATTTTTTTCCCAGGATGCAGCGAGTTGTGTTTCGTTTCAACCGATCGCAATCAGATCGCGTTGACCTGTCAGACGAGATGCGCCCGTTGTTCCAGTTAGAGAACGGCGATTTTTTCAGAGATCCCGACCGCAGTCATCATTCAGCCACCAAGCCGAAGCAAGCTGAGAAAGTTCGCTTCGATTCAGCCAACAGAACGAAAGACGGGCTGGAAAAACACCTATAGTAAGGCAAGACCCACAGGAAATGTATCAGTTGAACCCTACATTAAAAGATGTTAAAAGCAGGCAAATCCTCCTATTTACATGATACAGTATATGATAGTATGTGCAGTGTATATATATATATAATACCCATATATATATATATATATACACATTGTGTGTGTGCGTAGATATATCTACAATAATATATATATGTACATATTATCATATAATGTAGATACACATCTTCTCTGCAACCTGAAATCAAAGGGAAGTTGCCTGAATTCAACTGGGCGAACGTTCTTTCAGTGCTGAGCCCTCCACAAATCTGAAATGACTATGCTGTATGTTGGGAACGTCGTTTACCTCAAGGTCTTTCCATTTGAGACCAAGGACCAGACATGACCAGACATTTAGCTTCCACCAAGAATCGGTAGATCTGGATAGATCTGGGATCTTTCAGGTGCGTCGTAGGGATAGTTTCTTGATCGGCTCGTGAATGGATGGAATGGATGGAATGGATGGAATGGATGGAATGGATGGATTGGATGGACCCTGATAATTACTCTTTATACATATCTTTATACCAAAATAATCCAAAATAGCTGGTTGTCATGGATTCCGGGATTCCGATGGTCCGGCTTTATAAAGCCTATGCCGTATAGCCATGTATAGCCCATTTCATCTCAGCTTGTTACAACTCGACCGGCTTCATCTGTGACCAGCCGACGCTGTCTGGGGGACGATTCCATGATTGACAAGCTGAAACCACCAGGTCGTTTTGACATGTCATGACTGTACGACTCAAGATCGACTCGTGTAGATATTACTGACATATATATATATATAGATTAACTCAAGATACTATATGATACTATCATCGAGATTCTGCAGTTGACATGAAGCTTTATAAGAAGGTTCAACACATTGCCATGTCAGCCCATGCCAATGTTGGCATGCACGTCATTGTCACCCAGAAGCCGCGAGACATGCGAGACATGCGAGACCAGCTAGACCAGCTTGACTATGAATATCTATGACATGACTCTATGAATGCTCTTGATCTGCTACAAAGTCTGCATAAAATCATCAACCTCTCAAATTGGATCGTGCAATATGCGTCAATATGGTTCAATACGTACTGAAGAAAACGGCAAACATGGGCAGATGAGTGCCCCCCATTGTGGCATGGCTCGATCAACATAACTTCCTGATGATTCCTGATGTATCCTGAAATTCATAGTTCTTGCCAGTCTGGCCTAGGAGGATCAGCTCATGAAGTAAATGCCGCCTTTGGATTTCGCCCAGTCCGGGGCCCTGCGAAAATAGGCCTCCTCAAACACGGGCTGCTCATCATAGGGCGCGGTAAAAAGTTCCAGCATTCCACGAGTCACGTGGTAGTTTCCACGACTGGCAGCATCATAGCTTTCAAAGAGCATCCAATTGCCTGGGTTTTGAGTGCTGAAAATGGAACAAAACTGCCGTATGCCACTTCAAAAGTGGGGGTCCTACCGTGCACTTCTAGCTGGGGTTAGAAATGCTCATGTGGTCTACAGAATAAGGGGATTTCAAATCGCCAGTTTTAAATAACCGCAGGGGAAAGCTCTCATCTCATGACTCAATGGATTGTTGTGGCTTGGTGAAATCCCCAACTTTGGCTGTCGAGATCTATAAAAATATAAGCGTTGGGCGGTCAAATCCCAATAAATTGGCCTACCAAAACCCTGATGCCATATAAACTTTCAGTGGTTTCATGATATTTTATGTAAATCTGGTTTTTGTAAACACAAGCAACCTGCATATCATACAACCTGCTAAGCCTGCTAAGCAAAGCCCCGTTTGCGCGGCACATACTTTGGTGATGCGGCCCGCATCTCGGCCCTTCGTACTTCCACCGTCAGACCATCGCGCTGCAGCTGGTTGCAGTAGCCACGCAGCCACTGTGTCCAGGCCAGGTGCAGCTCGCCACTGGGAAGGCTGGGAAAGGCCCTTTCCAAATCCTGAGCCATTGGATCAGGAAATATTGGCCTAGGACTTGAAAATCAACCAAAGTTCTGGTGTCAACCAGTATAGCGTGATTTGATATGGAACTTGAAATGGATTTGAATCCTAGTATCAACCAAGCAGCTCCAACGTGGCAAAGCCAATCATTTGGGGATGATGTTTACATTTTCGTACAACCCATGGCAATATTGGGGGAAGGCTCATTAATATCATTTGATTTTATGTGTTTTTTTTTCACATTACCCATCCCGTTACATCCCGTAAAACATCCCAAGCATCTTAGCAAACTATGCGGGATGTACCGGGACGTAGCGGGGATAACCCCCATAGGTCAATAAGCCTATGAAGAGACATCATGATCCCCCAAAAAATAAATCATTCCCTTATAATCCCTCATATAGACTCCAAATTTGGTGGATTTAGTGGGAAAGAATAAGAAATACCATCAGATACCATCAGAAAATCCAAGGCGATTTTCCAAAGCTAAATACCTGAATCTGGCGTGTTCAATCCTCCCAGAATGGGATCCCCATGGGGCAAAAGGGAACCACACCAGCCAGTTTGTCAGGTCTCAGAGGTCAACCGTTAACTTTCAAACACGTGTCCAAACCACAAACCTATAGCAACCCCAAAAGATGGAAACATATAGAACATGAACAAACAAACTAATAAAATGTTGGTAAATATGTTCTCTATCTTGGGATTTACGGGCAAACACTTCCAGGCTCAGACACTTTTAAGTCAGCCTTGTCCACATCCAACCATACCTGGGATCAGGATCAATTGACCTCTTAACAAAATCGTTTAAAATGCAATCCGCTAATCACACAAAAAAACCATGGACATCCAAAAATTTATAGATGTTTTTTCCATGAACAATCCTTTTTTTTATCGAGAACTGTCCATTCATTGAGTCCATTCATGCCACGTTTGATGACCAATCTATAGGACAAAATACCAAGGACCGAAATAGGGCAATAGTTTAGTCCTGGATAATCGGTCAGCTGACTACACCAATAGTTTATTGACAAAATACCAAGGACCGAAATAGGATGGTGTAGTCAGCGTCCGTGCGCGCCATCAGTTCCAATAGCTGCCTCCACATCTCAGCGGCGTTGGCATCCCAAGTCTTCACGCCCAACTTGCGACGACAGCGGTCACAGTGGGCCTCTGGGAACGGGTAGATATAATATGTATGCGTATTATTATACAGTATAATAAATATAATATTATATATATATAGTATATATATAATATTATATATATAATATATTATATGATATCATACATGGTATGATAGTGTACTATATATATATAATGTTACAGTATGTTATGTTATATCATGCTGTATCATATTAAGCTACATTAAGTTAAATCGTTGTATATATTCTTATATATTGTTGGTATTGTTATATCATTACTATATCATTATTTATATATTATCGGTATTGTTAATACTATTCTGTATTATTAATATTTATTAATACTATTACCCTCTGGTAAACTAACATAGCAATAGAAAATCACCATCTGGGTCATATTCTATGTCGCAAACTGTTAGTCAATACCAGAGGCTATATTCCCACCAATATAAGTGTTAAATATCATTAGTATGATATTCTGATATTCTATTATGTTAATAGAAAATGGAGAATATGATTAATAGAATATGATTCATAGAACATTCTACGATGTATTTTATATTCCCACCAATATTATTATTACCCTCCAGTAAATTAACATAGACCCTGAAAATCACCCATTTTTAATGGAAACTAGTCTTCCAACCCCTATCTGCCAGGGTCTATGTTAATTTACCAGAGGGTAACTATTATTAATCTGAAATTCTGGAAAATGGGCCATTGATTGCTGAACATCCCAGGGGCCGCGTCGAAGCTTTCCTGAAAGGATGCCTCGGAGCGGCACGCTAAGCGTAACGTTAACACAGTCTGTGGACATCAAGTTAAAGCAGTTGAAAAATGCATAATGTTGGCTGCCTAATAATCACCCCCCCCCCCCAAATTTTTCAAAATTTTCCTTTTTTTTAAGGGGGGGTCAGGATTCCAATAGTAAATTCCTGGAACCCTATGGCTGGGATCATGATATGTATCTGATAGATTCTCCTTGCTGCTTTGAAACGGGTTTTGCTTTACTTTGCTTTCTCCAAACATCTGAAAACAAAACCAGGGGAAGCACAAGTGGAATTCATTCTTGCCATGCCTGGTGCAGGTTTATTATTGCTATTCTGGGGCTTGTAAAGGGGATACACTTTGTGGACCTGTTTTCTTGTTTTTTTAAATAAGGGTTTTATAAGGAAATCAGCTGGTTGGTAATTGGATCAGATTTCTGGAATCTAAGCTTTTGTTAATGAAAAGTGCTTGTTGCTTTGAAAAGGGTTTTGCTTTACTTTGCTTTCTCCAAACATCTGAAAAACTATACCATGCCCTCTGGACAAGGTCAGAACATTAGTTTATGGCAATACTAAAATCAAATTAAGCTAATTGACTTTTAGTATTGGAGATAAAACTGGAGTTGGGAAAACAAATTCTACTATTGCCATGTTGGGTCCACTATTGGCCATGCCCTCTGGACAAGGTCAGAACATGAGTTTTTTGGCAATACTAAAATCAAATTAAACTAATTGACTTTTAGTATTGGAGATAAAACTGGAGTTGGGAAAAAAGGTTCTACTATTGCCATGTTGGGTCCACTATTGGCCATGCCCTCTGGACAAGGTCAGAACATGAGTTTTTTGGCAATACTAAAATCAAATTAAGCTAATTGACTTTTAGTATTGGAGATAAAACTGGAGTTGGGAAAAAGTTTCTACTATTGACAAGGTATCATTATTGGCTAGACAACATTATTAGTATATAAATCACTATATATATACAATATATATATATATAATTATATATACTAATATATATATTATATATTATATATATATATATTATATATTATATATATAATATTACTACTCACTATCAGAATCATATTACTATAGCATCTACTATACCTATATTACATGTTACTTTTCTATTAGTATATATTACTGTAGATTACATGCAATTCGCCATTTCATGCCGGTGCCCACAAGAAGAACCGGTCGCTGGATCCCATCCCACAGTGATTCCCACTTTCTGATGACATGACAAAACAAGTTCTATTTTGTTTCATCAAAATCTTCAAAAGTTCAAAATGTTATTGAAGTATGTTGAAGTTCTATTTTGCTGCTTACATCCCAAGTTCTGATTCATGAAACTCCCAGTTTCTGTCTCTGAAATCCCACAAAATGGATCCATCAATTGTTGCATTGGTGAACCCCCCATGTTCCACAGGCAAGAACCATGATGTTCATGGATTCTTCCGCAGATGTTTCCGTCGAACTTTTTCAATAAATCAAGCTGCAGTGATCTTCTTCAAGTGCTCGGCACAGCCACCCTGTTCTTTCGCAGGAAGGGCGTGGACAATGTTCTCCGCTAGAACTCGCACTGTCGCGAGCGTCGCAGCAGGTTGTTGGTCAAAGGCATAGTGTCCAGTCTTGTCCGAAGTAAATGGCTGGTAGCTGGGATCATACCTGGTATGTTGAGCCAGCCCAAACAAATTGGAAGTTAGACCATCCTGCAGTTTGTTGAGAGATGGAAAGTAATAGTAAAACATATTTGAAACTTAAACCAGCAACCAGATACCCTTCCATAAAGGCAAATGGGCCATAGTCCAAAGTCTGGCCACACAAAAGGCAATTGTCAGAATTCATGTTCCCATGGACATATCCCACTCGCAGCCACTCCGCGACCAGTTCAGCTTGCTGTTGTACAAATTCCTGAAAGAACGCCATGATCAAATCATCTAAGCGCCGATGCACTGCCACCAGCTCTGGAAAATCTCTCCGAAAGACGTGCCACAGAAAGTCCATCAGCTCTGTCGAGGAGGACCTCCGTGCGAAGAGCTCCACATGACCCACTCTCCAAAAGGATCTGGCACAACGACACAGGACCGCAGCGGCTTCATCCTGGTCGCACCTCAAGGGGCTTGACATGTAACCGATGTAACCCCAATTATTCGAACATCAGTGGATCATGAGCCGCTCCAGGTGATGAAAGTAGCCCTGCACCTGGGAGGACTGAACCTTTCGCGCGACATTTCTTGGGAAGGATGCATGTACCATGGTCGTGTCACACGTTCGCTGGAGGTAACCACCGACAAAGCTCGGGCGGTTGGAACTCCTGAACCAGTGACCCTCACCGGAATTCAGAGTTATCCCCGTAGTCCCTTCAATATTACATAAATTGCCCCCAGAAACCATGGTTCAATAGGTGTGTACACATGTTTTTCATCATCTAGGGTGTGTTTAATGTGAGGGATCCCAACCCTGCTCCAAATATTTGCATGTTTGTCTGGCCTAAATGTTTTTTCAGCGAACCAGTTACATTCAAGCATTCCAATCATACTTGATGTGGTAAACTAGTAAACCCATGTAAACCCAATACTGAACCAACCCCAATTTTCCCAATTCAATCCTTAAGATTCTTTAAGAATCTTTGAGAAACCCATGCCCCACCCCCTCTTAGAGGGTTCAGAATTGGGTTGACCATGGTTTACCAATGCTTACCCGGTCACCCAGCTCCTAGATGGTGCATGGCCTCGCTCGCCAAGAATTCGCGGACGCAGGAGCGTAGCACGGCGCGGCCATCAAAGTTCCGAGAGAACGGGGTACGTCCGGCGCCCTTCAGCTGCAACTCCCATGGCTCCTTCAACTTGAAAACGCCCAAAGAAATGGCACGTCCATCTCCATAGCCCCAAGGACCAAAGGGCGAATCGGCTGAAAAACATCCATTCACTGAGGTTCCATAGGGTGTAGCCCAGGGTTTCAAATTGGTGTTCTCCACCTCACCTGCCAGCATCTTCAGCATCTCCTCAGATCGCATGGCCTCCGAGTCAACGCCAAGGTCGCGGCACATGGAATCGGAGATGGCCACCAGTTCTGGGTCAGGCAGTGGCTCAGGCAAGATGGGCACGTAATGCCCAGCCTTGACAGCACGTGAGCGTCGGGGCTCAAGTGCCGAAGCTTCAGGAGTCAGGTCCTTGGGTGAGCTGCTGGACTTGGGACTGGGATTTTGAGTCAAAAAATCTACCATCTGGTTATGACTAACATAGCCATGGAAAATCACCATTTTCAATAGGTAAACCATCTATAAATGGGACATTTTCCATGGCTATGTTAAATAACCAGAGGGTAGTGTACCCAAAGAATCCAGCAGATATCTTGTAGACAATTGATATGAATTGGAATCCTCATCCCACTTCAAGGGTGGAACAACTTGAAAAAAAAAAGTGAAATCAGCACCCAAGCTCCACCAATGCCGAGTGATCCAGCCCTGCCAGTAGTTGCGCCACATTGGGCCCAGTGGTACCAGACCTTACTGACGATCGCCTGACGGATCTTTGACCACCGCGCCAGCGGAGACCTGGCACTGCCCAGAATCAGACAGAAACCATCAGAAACTTTCAAGGCCTGATACTCAATGGATTGGTTTTTTCAGGGAAATTTTACAGGAAAACCCCATATTGAATGGGAAAATCGATGGTTTCCGGTTAAGATTTTCCCTTAAACCACTCCATTTAGATACAGTCTCTGAGGAATCTAGACTAGCTGACTTTGGGCCAATTTATGGGATAGTGAAACACTCCAAATTTTCAAATCGCCTTCAGCAAATGGGACGAGACCAAGAAAGGCGGCACACAAGACACACCCGCCAGGTGATCTTGGGGGATCCAATCTTGCGCTGGCAGGTCTTTTCACGGCCAAGGACGGCAACGACGAAGTGTGCTGCCATACTCCCGGGGCTCCCAGGGCGAGCATCGCAGCATGTCGCCAGATGAGTTGAAGATGGCTACCGGGAGGAGGTTGCCCCGCAGATCAAAGGATAATAAAAGGACACTGTGGTTGGTGCGATCTGCCGCGTGGTTATGTATTTGGAAGGACTCAGTTGATCTTTAAGCTGCTGTCCTATTGTTTTCTGCTTCCTGTAAACATTGACGAATCATAAACTGGTTGGTGGTTTCAACCCCTCTGAAAAATACGAAAGTCAGTTGGGATGATGATTATTCCCAAAATATGGAAAAAACCCAAAAAAATGTTCCAAACCACCAACCCGTAAATAACTCATAGAAAAAACAACCGCAGCTCCCAGCGGTCCCTGACACGTTGGAGATAGCTTTGATGCCACCTGGGTGACAGCGCTCTGCGTTGGTCCATCCCATATCATCCCGTAGGTCCCACCCAATGGTGAGCAACTATCAACTGACCCACTTCATCATCCATTTTTTACCCTCTGGTCATTTAACATAGCTGACATAGCTGACATGAAAATGGCAATGTTTCATGGGAAAATCAACTAGATTTCGACTGGGCCATTTTCAATAGCTATGTTAAATTACCAGAGGGTAATGAGTGGCAGACTTTCGTGCCTGTCTGTTACAAGGCTGTAGTCCTGGGATTAGGAGGAATCACGTGTGTCACTGTCTGGCAGAAGCTCACAACGTCCATTAGTGCAGTCTGCATGGAATTGAGACATATTGAGAAGATTGGTTTGGATGATGGGAAAATTTACAGGAAAGCCCTATATTTGATGGTAAAAACCATGGTTTCCTGTAAATTTACCCTAAAACCAATCCAGTGATTGTCTGAAAATTGGGTACCTCAGAATATTGAAATCAGTTGGGGCTGTGGGTCCCCAAGTTTGAGCCAGACCGAGAATGGTACTAAGAAAAAACAATGGTTTAGCATCATTTCCCTTCGAGGTATCCCAGTTCAGGAGAAACCCACACTCCCAATATTCCCATAAAATCTTTACCTCCCCACTATATCCCCATTGATTATATCCACATATCCCCATAGAATGGATTAGAATGGTTGGTTTTATACCCCATAGAATGCCCCAGGTCCAACTGCTTTGGGGGTGTCAGCTCCCCTGAATCTCCACCATCGGAGTCAGGCTCCACACTTATCTGCCTTTTCAGCTTTAGCTGCCTCCTGGGATGTATCGATGGGGATATGGGGGTCCGGTGAAACCTGGGATCCCTTGTCATGTGAAGACAGTAGACATCTATGCGTTTGGAAGTTTAACTGGTATTGATCCATCTCCTTACTGGGGACATGCTTCTGGCAAAATATATCTGCTCCTTGGTGCGCCTTCTCTGGCGGGAGATGGTGGGATTCCTTGAAGATCCTTCTGTCTTTTAGAGTTTGTCTTCATCAGTGTCCAATACAAGGATCTGTCCTCCTAGGGTCCTAGCACGAAGGGACAAAACTTGAAGAACTCGAAGGCCCAAGGACTGTCGGGGACCACAAGACCCAGGCTTGACCATTTGACCATTTGTGGGACCTCGCCAGGAAACATGGTCACCAACCCAAATCTCCTCCAAAGATGCAGTGATGTCAACCTCTTCTAGGGAATCCAGAGTTAGCGTCCTCGCGCGCTCTCCTGGACAACGATGCACAGCATGAAATGGCTCAGTTTGATGGTCCTTCTCAGGTGAACCAATGCAACCAATGAATCAGAGTGTGCTCCTTTTTCAAGATGTTTCAAAAAGGATCCGAAAAGTACTGTATCTATCCAAGCTGAAGGACAGTGCAATGTTGGGAAAACTATAAATTTGTAAAATTACGGGCTACTCACAGAGGTAAGCCTCCAAAACCCAGTGTTCATGCAGATTATATATAGATGACCCATGAAAAAATCAGCACCTGAAAACAAGGCCCCCCACATCTGCAAGGTGCCATTGCTTCATTGAAGCCAATCTCTGAAACAGATTGCAATTGGATGCTATAAATTCGATGCCCTGAAATGGTCCAAAACGCTCCGACCGAACATCGATTCAGCATTCGTAAGCACATTCGAGGCACAAGAATCACAAACAAAACAAACAAATGCTTGCATGGCTTTGTCCGAAATTGGCTACTCTCCTCCTAAATCTACTGTAACCCATGATCGTCATGTTCCCTTTCGTATCAAAACAGACAAAGAAACAAACAATGAGGGGGAATACCCTACTTCTGAACACACCCAAAATATATAAATATGGTTATAATTTTTATCCCAGCATTATATCATATTATATCCCTAATATCATAAATCACCATACCATGGTTGATATCCTCACATAAACCTATGGTTGATACCCTGGCCCAACTTCAACGGACGCAAAAAAAAAAATCCGGCTGCCTGCAACCTTCGATCGATCTGGCATCCTGACGGCACCGTGAAGAGTTTCGATTGTCTGTATGACGCAATATGATATAAACCTCCATTTATAAACCTCCATTTATATTCATGATTTTCCCAGCTATAAACCTCCATTTATAGGGGATGTCCCATTAAATCCCCATAATTACCCAAGATGATGATTTAATGGGATTTTATGGTGGTTTAATGGGATTTGAGGGGATATTAATATGATATACCCTCTGGTAAACATACAAAAAGCTATTTAAAATGGCCATATAGAAATAGTGGATTTACCCAGCTAGAAAATGGTGGATCTTTCCATAGTTACGTTAGTTTACCAGAGGGTAATAACCACCAACAAAGATAGAAAATTGAAAAGTAAAATTCAGTGATGAAATTTGATGAACTACTTGTCTTTTGGAATGTTTTGGGGGGTGCTATATAATGCTATATACATATTGGCGTAGAAGAACATATGAAATTGGGGGATGTTCGAGCTACATCAAACTTCATCTACAGGATCGGGATGATGACAACTGGAGTGACCTTCACTTTCGAATCATCACCTCTCAATCGGCAACAAAGGTCGTGCTTCTGGCTTTAGCAAGCAATCTTGTATATCCCATAGGATCCATGTATGCTATATATGGTAACATTTGCCATCAATATACCCCAAATGTTTGCATATATACCATACATGGATCCTATGGGTATCTATGCAAATCGCCCAAATTCACAGACAGTTCTAGCGAACAACCCATAACAACCCACTACCATCAGTGGGCCCGATCGATGACCAAAGCGCACCAAGTGAAACACGTGACAAAAAGCGGAGGCCATGTGATTGCTGGTCTACAAGTCCGAGCATGTTATGTTATGATATGGGGTACAGTATGATATAACACAATATAGTGTAATAAAAATCAATAAAATATAGGGTAATATAATGTAATGATATGGTATGCGTCAAATTTCAAAAACCTGGCACTCACACCATGGATTTTTTGCTGCATCCCATCGTGCTTGGATGACATACCAATGGGTCGACCATCCCCCTTTACGCCCCCGCCTAATCTCCGTACCGGACAGAGGAGACCTTTTTAAGGCAGCTGGTCAAGACATTGTGCGGATATGATACAACCTTCAATGGATTGGTTTACCCTCTGGTAAACTAACATAGCTATGGAAAATCACCATTTTCTAGCTGGGTAAATCCACTATAAATGGTCATTTTCAATAGCTATGTTAAATTACCAGAGGGTAAGGGAAAATGATGGAAAATCTGCATGAACCCATGATTGTGACATATTTCTACCATCAAATCTAGGGGTTTCCTGAGCATTTTCCCATCATCCAATTCTATGAAACCTGGAATAGGATGAGGATTTATCACATCGAACCTACATGCGATAAGGACATATGTTTCTGCGATAAGGGATATTACATCGATTACCCTCTGGTAATGACTAACATAGCTATTGAAAATGGCCATAAAAATAGTGGATTTTCCCATTAAAAATGGTGATTTTCCATAGTTATGTTAGTTTACCAGAGGGTAACCAATGCAAATTGGGGAAGGGTGTATATATTTTGAGCAAGACATTGGCATGACACCAACAAACCCCGCGGACATGATGTAATGAACAAAATCCAAGACCAGTTTTAATCATTGCTATGCCTGTGGCATATCACAGGTACTCTCTTAGATATCCCGAAGTAGTTCCGTCCCAGACAGTACACCCAAAGTCTGCCGAATCGAGAAGAGACACAGCAACTAAGCAGCAAAGACTTTCGAAACGTATGCTAGCGTATCATATCCTAACTGGTCCTAACTGCATCTTACCGACCAGCGTTCTTCTTTTGATGCTGCATTCCTGGGAGATAGCTAGTGCAAAGCGCACTTGGTGGCTTCTTGGGGTTTCCTGTCTTTGGATTGCTTCTCGATTGCATTGCTTAGCTGAGGAAATGATGTGAAATAATGATCTTTCAGCCACTACCTTCTCCGGGAGCAATACGATAGGCTGCAAACAACAAGCCGTCTATTTCTTTGTTCAGTCTGATATCGGCAAAAATAGCTTTGAAGAGTCATTACTAAAATGCCAGTCAAAACCTGTGTTTCAGTCATTACTGGATCATTGCAATAGAAACTTACGGTCAAATGTATTAACATGATTTAAACTGATTTAAAAATGTCTGTATCAAGAGGTCCAACCGGTCCAACCTCTGGTCTTCCAGAGTTTTGGCATTGGGAACTCCGACCCCACAGGAATGAAACGACCAAGTCGTATGGCAGCACCTGCAGCTTGAAACGACCGGTTTTTTGGATGCTCAAAGGATGCCGATGGTGATCTATGAGGAATCCATGAATTCTGGCTGAACTTTATATGGGGATGGGTCAAAACCCTGGTACCCCTGGTGAACATCAAAATAGCTGGTAAATGGATGTTCATCCCACTAAAAATGTATCTATAGGTATTGACCCATACCCATATTCATTCACAGACTTGAAATGAGCTCATCGTGTTGAGGTTGTTCTAGTTGGCCCAAAAATCCCATGAATTCTTCAAGAATGCTGTGTGCTGCAATCCCCATGAACCACCAATTAAAAAACAAAAAACATCTAAAAATCGTG